TCTCACGTTGCGCGCGTGCCCCGAGGCCTCTGTGGCTCAACAGTTCCTGCATAGAGGAAATACGCCACAATATTACATAAGGTATGTAGGATTAGGTATAAGCGCATAACTCTGAAGATAGAGGCAGCAGGTTCCTCCGAAATGTTGGTACTTATCTATAAAATAGGTACCAGAACACCATAATTTTAATGATGTTCTCTGTTTTCATAGTAGAGGAGAGGATATGCACACGGAACCGCCATGACATTGCCTGCGCGAGAGGAGGAACACGTGACGTGCGAGTTGATGCAGCGTCTAGTGACATGGCCCCTTCAATTTGAAATTGAGCTGATGTCATTGGAGGCACGGCGCAAACTTGAAATCCCCTTTAGTGACTGAAATAAAAGCGAAAGAGTAAATTATATGTGTGGCCACTCCTGAGATCTGACAGTAGGTTGACGACGTCAAAATCTACACCCACATTTACTGCTCTGTTCATCTTCAGTTTCGTGATTCGTAAAGATAGGCCATAAACAAGCAGCCGTTATTATATAGAGCAGTGGTTCTCAAACTTTTTACCTCTGAGCCACCCCGTAAGAACAGAAAACACTCTCAGGCCCCCAGCCTGTTTTTTTATCAAAATAGAAGTCATGGTATGTTTGACATTTCATTCAGATTATTTTGTGTTTTTCTACATACTATTTAGCAGTTTTCTTACTCAAAATTAAAGTATCACAATACTAGGCCTACAATAAAAATTAGTTTTAACACTTGCAATTAACCAAAATATGTATTGAAATGAAACGATATTTAACCAACAAGTATTTAATTTTTTTCTGCAAAGAAAATCAAACATTTAAATGTCAACTTTCATGGATGGGCCTGCTTTTGAGAACGAAGTTTATCAAAACGTGGTGTAATATTAGAAAAGGCCACTCTAACTTCTTTAGCAATATTTAGCCTTGAACGATGCTTTGACTTTATAGCTGCCAAAGCAGAAAAGCCTGTCTCGCATAAGTAGGTTGTTGCGAAAGGAATCAGGATTTTCAATGCGTTTTGGCTCAAAGTTGGGAATTCCTTGCCAATATGTATCCAGAACTCCAACAAAGACAATTCCTTAAATTTACTTTTTAATGAAGTATCACTACTGAGATCGGTGAGTTGTTCTTGCTCATTTACCTTCAGAGATAATGGCCTAGGAGCATTTTCGAATGGATTTTTAATCCAATTAAATTTACCAAAACCATTGCAAAAGTATTTTTCGAAGTGAACTTTCAACATTATGAGATGATCAAGTAGGCAGCTTTTTATGTCCATTGGAAGCACTGTCTTGTACCATTGGCACCAGAGTAGGGAACATGTCTAGCGTGTCACTTTCCATACTGTTTCTCCAGAGCTCTAATTTTCTCATGAATGCCTTCACTTTGTCATTCCAAGAAAGTACAGTTGCCTCATTCCCTTGAAGTGAAGTGTTGAGGATATTTAGTTTCTCAAATATATCTGTGAGGTAAGCCATTTTCAATAAAAAAATCCTTGTTGCTGAAACTGCCTGCCAGTGAGTGATTTTCCCCATTTAAAAACAGAACACCTCATGCCTCAACTTAAACATTCTCTTTAATACCTTGCCTCTTGAAAGCCACCGAGCATCACTAAAAGAACAACAGAGCAGTGTGTTCAGCACCCATTTCCTCACACAGCATTTTAAGAAGTCAAGACTTTAGAGGATTTTAGAGGATGCGGCTGCTGCCGAACTATCAACGCTGTCTCTGGCATACGCGTTTTATAATTGCCGGTAAAAAGAATAATTATTAGTTATTTTGAAATTCATAATAATTGAAGCCTGTACTCATCAAACGTTTTTCTATATGTATTTTTATTTTTTGTTATTTTTCTAATTGATTTATGGCAGTTTTAATTTTTATCTGTAGGAAAGTATGCTGCGCCCCCCCTGGGGGTCGCGCCCCACAGTTTGAGAATCACTGATATAGAGTATAAGATTAACGATCGAGAAGTATTCATTTAATTAGATAAACTTAACTTCAAGATTCTTTAGAAATATATATAGTACATAAATTCTTGATAATGTCTACATGTACCTGTATTTCATTTTCTGTAATGCCTGTTGAAAATCCAGAGGAGGATTTTGGTTAAAAATATTTCGCAAGTTCCACATCTTCTGTCTTTCCTTCCTTGTCAGTTCATTTTTAATAGTTCTTCTCAAGGGTTTATCCGGTCGCCGGATCACATCGGGAACCCTCGTGATGGACAGAGAAGGAACGATTTAAATAATGCGCATGTGAATTCAATTTTAGTAGCAGAATTGTGCGATATAATGCGGTGCACTCCGATGAATGACAATCGATGTTACGGATGAATTTATCGATTCAGTCTTCAAGGTCCAAAAGTAAGCAAAGCAAGAAACCGGCATGAAACTGGTAGCAAGCAGATCTTTCCATGCTACTTGCACGGTGTTGTACTGAGCAGATACACTCGTCATTGTAAACGCAACATAGGGTCATTCCACGTGAAGTTATCCATATAGGTCGCTCAGCCATTTTTAAAAGGCTTTATATTTTGTACACTTATTTCTGCGTATGTTCATACATCATACGCACTGTTATGGCGTGAGGGGGGGTGGAGGATTCTCTCCACCTCTTCTGCCATTCCTACTGTTGCGCCCTTGGGGAATGGCCAGTTGCAAGGCTAAGCGCTTGGTAATTGCCCCGTTAACTATCTCTTGGCTGTGAGTACGGAAGATCGGGGAAATAGAGGGTGTGACTTTGGTGTAAGTCATTAACACACACATCCCCCTTATTCGGTCTACTCTCGTCTACTAATATATACACTTATATACATCTCCTTTCGTAGCCGACAGTTGCCGGTTACGTACACAATATAATTTAGATAAACACTCGCTTGGGTTCACCATCCTAGCTCTCGTGGTAGTTCCTACTCAGGGCCTACTCTCTCGCCCTCTCTGCCCTAACCTTGTGAAATGGCACTTTAATAATATCACACTTTATAACCATTACTGATATGAACAGTTAAGACTTACTTGGTGTAGGAAGCTGATGGTGTCCCCTCACTTGGTCTGGCACGACCATGGCTCTGGCCCTCCTGGCCTCTGGCTGGCTACTCATTTAACATTGTCACTCGGATACATGGATAGATCGAATGATCAATTGATTGATTATAGACTGATCGTTGTGGATTCCGAAAGGTAGCTCCTCCAGTTGTGTTCGCTACTTTATAACCTTTCCTCTGCTGACTCCTGTTTTGGGGTAAGCTCCGCCCCTTAGTCGAGCGAATTCTCCCCCAAGGTCCGTCACTCGTTGGTCATCTCGGTAGAGAGGGTGAATCTCCTCATGCCGTCTCGCTGAGTTGACACTCTGTACGCCTTGGCCGTCTGTTCCGCGTGAATCAGCGGTGCTGTGCAATGTGACAATTTCTTACTGACATTGCTACTTCCTGCATTCTACTTCAAACATTAACTTCCTGTAACTGTGAACCCAAGATAACTTAATACATAAAAGTTACAAAACCAATGCCGAAATTTTACGGCATTACATCCCCCGCCGCAAAACTTGGAATATCCTTCCTGTCAAGGGGGGATATTACACTTGTTTTCTCTCCTTGAAACACAAAAACAAAACATGTACCCTCTTACATCAATGTTACATACATAATTTGAGCATAAGTTCTTGATTGTCCATTCCTTTCTTTTTCAGTCTTTCACTCCGTCCGTTTTATCACTGGAACACCTTAGTCTGAAAGCGTTCTGCGTTCACTGCTTCGCTGGGCTCCGGGTGCTCGAAAGGTGAGTACCGCCTCCTGATGTCTCAACAGCCTCACGCCGATTCTGCAACTGTTGTTAGGGAACCGGTCATTGGCTCCGCCCGCTGCCGTCCTCGGGTCGCCGTCTCAGGGGCGGCGTCGGTGATGAATCCGCCTCCTGGCGGCGCCGGGTGCTGCTTCCGCTACTCGACCTCCGTCGTGGGTAACTGGTCCGGGGGCTGTGGCACAACCACCCCTGGATCGCACGGTTCGACCTTGGACTCGGCCGTCCCGTTGGCAGTGTCAGCTCTCCGCTGACTCAGTTGCAGCCTTCTCGTCGTGGGATGACCTCCGTGTCTTTCTCGTCCCGTTACTCATAGGATAGCTTTGGGCGTCAACCACCTGCTTCTACCCTTGCAAGTGTCGCTACTCACACAGTCATGGATTTTACGCTGTTTCCTAGCATGACCTGTCTACTCAAACTTCCCGAATACCCAAAGTGTAACCCTGATTGGTTTCACAATTTACTCCTCCAAACGGTTGCCTAACTCTTCTAACCATCGGTGTCATTTCCCACACTCTTATTACCTATTCCTCCTGTTTGGGGGGGGGGGTACTGCTACTCTTTCCTCCAGTGCGTCGGTGAGCACTGTCCTAACCTTGATTCGTGTGTGGGTAAGGCTGCGGGTTGGAAATCATGTAGGTCCATCCCTTCGGTTCTCTCAGTGTTTGGGTACAAGGCGTACTGCCTCACTCATGGCCAATGAATACTCTTAGTGGGTGCACAAACAACTGCACGCTCTCCGAGTTTCAAGGCTGTTAAACCCATGTAGCCTTGGTCCAACTGTCTTAATTATCCCTACACAAAATTAAGAACATTTCGTGTGAAGGGTATCAAACTAGGAGTCTCCCGGTATGTCGTTACCAGGCCTACTTAAACCAAACTTCCTAATATGTCCAACGTTTCTATTAATTAAGTCTAATCCCTCTTTATAACGTCTACTTTTGTGAAATTTACGCGTGTTTCCACTTCCGGCCGTCTTTATTCTTTGTAGCTTCGTTGGCTCCGGGGCCGTAGTGAATAACGATGTCGAGTCTCGCTGGACACGCTTGGCTCCGTGGCGCGTAATGCTGGTGAGTCCTCACTCCCTCTCTCTGTTTCTTCGTCGGCGATCGCATTACTGCTGATCCCGCTGTTTGTTTCATTTGCAATCTGGCTCTCGTGAGCTCGTGAGGTGAATACCAGTGTGTCGTTGGAGTCTGGGGTATCGCTTCTCGCAATTAGGGGTCTCTGCTCCCTCATTCTGCGTCTGTTTTGTCCTCTCTCTCTCTCTCTCTCTCTCACACCTCTTCTCTTGACGCTCTCCACATTTTGATCTGTTCGACGTGGAGGTTTACCTCCTTGTGTCCGATCTGTACTCTGTAGATCATATCCGAGATCTTTCTCACTATTGTGTATGGTCCTAGCCATCTTGGTTCAAGCTTCCTGCCCTTGACCATCTGCTTGCGGTACACAACCTGTCCTGGGCGGTATTCGATTCTCCGTGCTCGCTTGTCGTGGCGAGTCTGCTGATCCCTCTTTACCCTTTCCAGCTGTTTTCTGGCTAACTGGCGGGCTTGCCATAGTCTAGCGGCAAATCGTATTACGCTTCCCCGTGCTCCAATTTCCTCTGCGTGCTGCTTCTGGTAGGCTTTTAATTCTCGATCCGCGGGTCCTTTCATCTCTGATCCGTACGTTAAGTGGTAGGGCGAATAGCCGGTGCTGGTGTGCGGCTGCGAACGGTATGCCCATAACACTAGATTCGGATGCTCGTCCCCGTTCGTGCCAGTTCGTCCCACTGGGGTCCGCATACATAGCCAGGCCCGCGTGGAGGGTGCGGTGAAACCTGTCCACCTGTCCGTTACTTTAGGGCCGGTATGGACTTGTAAATATCTTGTCCACTCCCAAAAGTCTACAGATTTCTCGGATTAAGTCCGATGTGAAATTTCGTCCTTGATCGCTCAGGAGTTTGTCACACACTCCGTGGCGTCTGAAAATCTGCATCGCCGGGGCGCTAGCTACTGTCATAGCCTCCTGGTCTGGAAGTGGCACTGCTTCTGCCCGCTTCGTGAAGTGATCGATGTACGTTAAGAGGTACCTGTTACCTCTCCTTGAAGTAGCGTAGGGTCTCGTAATGTCAATGGAAACTACTTCCCTTGGCCCTCTAGCCTCGGGTAGGTTACCCATGGGCGCTGTGGTCACGCGACCTGCCTTCAAACGGGCGCGCTGGTCGCAACTCAATACGTAGTCTTCTACGTCCCGGTGAAGGTTGGACCAATAATACTTCTTGCACATCCAGTGTTGCAGCTTTTTAACTCCAGCGTGCGCCGCATGCTTGGCGTCGTGGTGGTCCCGTATGAGCCTGCCCACCATCGTCTCGGGTATCACTAGCCGCGGTGTTCCTTCCGGTATAGGAAGGACCATATAGTCTTTCCGCTGGCTTAGGCCCTCCTTCACCTTTCTGCAAAACACGTCGAGTTCTTGTTCCGATTTCACCTCCGATCTCTTTACTTGTCCTTCCATCGTGGGGGTCGCGATGTGGCGAGACAGGGCGTCTGGTACACAGTGGTATTTGCCCGGTCTATGGAGTACCGTGTACTCGAATTCCGATAGGCGAAGAGCCCATCTGGTGGGTTTTGCACTAGGATCTTTCAATTTCAGTAACCAACATAATGCCCTGTGGGCAGTCACGAGCGTGAACTTGCGACCATACAAATAGCATCTAAACTGTTTCGTTCCATACACGACTGCCAACAATTCTTTTTCGGTAACTGACAGCTTCTTTTCAGCAGTGGTCTGCTGCCTACTCGCGTAACTAACGGGTCGTTCCTTCCCGTTTTTTTACTTGGGCTAAAACTGCCGAGATCCCATGGTCACTCGCGTCAGTATGTAGCCTAAATTCGTGAGAGGGATCCATGCTCGGGTAAGCGAGCACCGTATCGGAGCTGATCTCTACTTTCAAGCGACTGAACGTTTCTTCCTGATCCTTGTCCCACTGGAAGTTGTGGTCTTTCTTTGTCAATACGGTGAGGGGTCGACTGATTTCCCCCTAGTTTGGAATGTACTGTCCCAAAAAGACCGTACTTCCGTTACAGTGCGGGGTCGAGGGTAGTTTCGAATTGCCCTCTCCTTGTACTCACTGGGTCCAGCCCCTTCTCGGGTCACACAATGGCCCAAGTATTCTACACTGTCTTTCGCAAGATGGCATTTCTCTAAATTTAAAGTTAACTTGGCGGAACGTAGCCTCTCTAAGACTTCCCGCAAGCGTTCCGTATGTTCCTGTAACGTGCGACCAAAAACTAACACGTCATCCATAAAAACTAAACATGTTACTTGACCTAGTCGTAACAAAACTTCGTCCATAACTCGGGTGAAAGTGTATGGGGAACCTGCTAGTCCAAACGCCAATCTTTCGTACTGGTACGTCCCAAACGGCGTTGTAATCCCTGTGTTGGGTTTGTCCTCTGGCCGTATCTCAATGTGATAGTAGGCGTCCTTGAGGTACACAAATGAAAAATATCGATTTCCGTTTAGTCTGTCCAGGTTCTCTTGCACTAGAGGCATGCAGAACACTGGAATCTTCGTCACTACATTCAGGCCTCTGAAGTCTGCGCAGAATCGGTACTTAACCGTTCCGTCCGTACTTTTCTTCCTAATCAAGATCACCGGTGCGGCCCATTCCGTGGCGGCTTTCGTCAACACTCCTCGTTCCACCATATCGTCACTCTGGTTTCTCAGCTCGTCTCAAGCATACGCGATACGATATGGATTCCGTTTTACAGGCTCCGCCTCACGTGTATCAATTTCATGGGGTCCGAAGTCCGTGCGCGGAATTATCCCATTCTCCGTCTTTTTAAAGAGATCTTGATATTCGAGCAGAGCTGGTTTTATAACTCGTTTTTCCTCTGCTGTTAAGTGGCTGATATTCTCCTCTAGTAACCTAGGTACATTGGCATTTTGTTCCCTCACTTTGGGGTCCAGTTGTCGGGGGTACCTATCCGTTTTCAATATGTTTGGTCGGATGGTCGCTTCGTCGTTTGTGACGTCATCTATGAGGTCTGCTTCCGTGATGTCACAGACGTTAGCGATCTTTGTCCCCGCTTTCAACGTAACACTTTCTCTGCTGGTGTTAATCAGCTGGGCACTGCAGTCGGTAATTACGTTTGCACTTTGCTCCTCGCTGACGTTGCGTTCACGCGTCTTGCGAGTGCGATGTTCTATCAACGCTGTACTCGCAAAAACGCCGGAAACTGTCCGAGCCGTATAAACTCCTCGGAGCGGTATCTCCACCGGTTCGGAATGTACCCATCTGTTGAGGGATGCTTTCGGCACAGCTTTCCGTTGTTGATCTGTTATCTTGGCTCTTGTGACCAAAAGTGTTCTAGGTTCTAGGTGTACCGCCTGTGGCATCACTGCTTGCCACTGGTTGAGTCTTTCCACCTGCCCGTCTTCTGTTGACGATTCTGTATCACTGGGTTTGGCTGAGGCCTCCTTTATCTCGCCATCCACTAGTCCTCTTGACTCTGTGGTTTTGCGTGTAGCCGTCCTTGCTTCCTCATTTACATTTTCCTGAGGTCGCGGCTCCGTCCTTCTAACCGTTGACTTCTGAATATTCGCCTTCCTCCTTCCTCACGGAGGGTACATCAGCTTGACTGTCTGGCCGTCCAGGTTTATCTCTCCTGCGGCTATGTCAATGCGGGCGCCTAGCCCTCTCAAGAAATCTAGCCCAAAAATTCCGTCTTTCTGGATCGGAAAGGGCGCTACCACAAAATCGTGGGTGTACTGCTTGTCCCCAATGACGAATTCTATCCGTCTGGTTCCTTCAATTTCCAAGCCCCTAACCGCTTCACTAATTTCCATCGTGGGGTGTTTGGGGGTGTTATAGGCCCCCTTATAATGGCTTGGGATGCGGTAATAGTCATAAAAATAGAAAGAACTGAAGAAGACCGTATCCTGCGGCATGTAGCGGTAAATGGATTCACACTTAGAATAATCGTGTATTCCGAAGGAAGAGACAAATAGGGGGGCGAACGCCCTGTATGCCTTTGTTGCACTCGACACTGAAAGAGAGAGAGAGAGAGAGAGAACATTTCCATTGTCATTACAAGGTATAACTTTTATATATATTAATGACATTGTTATAATAGTGGGTTCCTAAATGCTGATCATGTTCTTCTGAAGATGGTCATCCCTACCGAAACATGTCATGGAAAATAAAATATTGAAATAAAACTATTATAAATCAATCACACTGGACTGTGCTACGAGTCATTTTATACTGTAAAATTATTTGTACTTCCATCCGACTGACTTACACATTCAAATGAAAATCTGCCGGGATAGCTCAGTGGGTATAGTGACTACGCTAGGGGCAGGACGGAGGCGTCAGATTTCTATTGCCAGTAGATCCATCCAAACTTCCATTTCCCATACGTCTTCATGGCGTGTTGCTTAATTATTAAAGCTCATGGATAACTTTACCGTTACCATTTAAATTAAACATTTAAAACACGGCGGTAACTGTAAGTACCACCTGTTTTAACACTATTTCTGCATTTCGTCTGCAGAAGGGATTTATATGTTTCGTGTATTTCTTGACTAAATAGTATTTCCAACACAGCATTTAGCGACTGGTCCTTGTAAAAGGAATGCAACTTCACTGTGAGCTATGAACTAACCATTAGTTAGATTAACTTCTGCGTCAAAGGTTCGTGTTTTCCTGCGAATTATCCCGCAACATACGTAGTATTCTCCCTTTTCAAGACAATGTATACGCTGTATAGCAACACTGCTCTTTGCTTGTATTCGAATCACATCGAGGATTGCGATATAGCGGCTGGGTTTTATCATGATTTTCATCTCCTCTAGTCGGACGTCGGGACTGAATCTTGCAATAAGCCGCGACAGCAATACTGTTGTTATTGTTACAGATTCACACTAATTATATCCTTTTCAGAGGAAGTTGTCTGCCTTACATCAAGTGCACAAGAGATTCGTTAAGAGTCATAAGTCATTGGCCTACAATTTTGTTTCGGCAAACTTAAAATTGCTCACGTCATTCGAGAGATGGTGTTACTTTCGCACCACATTTCCAATCGGACGCATCCCATCCACGTCCTCACGCCTTGTTTCCTTAAGGTTAATGTCAGTATCTTCACGTATTACTGACTGCACACGGGGTTTGCAATGAGAGTCGAATGGACTGGACATCTGACATTCGTAACTACAAATAATTGGAACACCTTCACTGTTCTATAGCGTCTAGAAATAACTACAGCCTTAAATATCTGTTATATTCTCACCTCAGTAATTGTTGTAATGGCTTGCGCAAATTCCGAGCCGGCTTGTCCCTTCAGATATTGCCTCGCGCTCTGTCGCTTCAGATTCACGTCACGTGTGCTGTTTGTACTTGAAATCAGGCGAGGGGGGGGGGCGTGAAGCAAAGCTACTGTTACGTTGCGTAACAGGGGCTGCCCTGCCGTTGCGTCGTGGGGGGCAAGTGTTTAGTGTCTGGTTGGATCGCAGAAGGGAAACCTAGTGTGACGTCACAGTGCCACGTTGCCGGGAATTGTTTTACTGTCGCGCGTCACGGTGTCAACGATTTAGACTTTTAAGCGTAATGTAATAATAGTTTACTTCTACCAAGTAAAATTTTCTATAAATTTATAACGTCTTATAGACTTTTTACATGTCCCGCACATATCATATGTATGTGACTGCCCTAACAGTATCTGATGGAGAGCGTGTAGTTATGCAACACGCACCTCCTTCTGGTCTTCTGCTGTTTTTTTTTAATGCAAATAATCGCTTGCTTGGAGACGAAAAATAGAATAAAGGAACACAGACACCCCTTAACTGCCTTATCCATGTGCTGCAACACGAAACAGGAGACGTAGGAAGGCCTGGGAGTGAATGTACAGACAGTTTAGTTCTTGGGTCTCTGATTTAGCTGCAAGCAAAAAATTACTGAGGAGGAAGGAAGAGGATTATATGACGTTTGGGGCTGTTACAGGCCGACTTATAATGGTTTGGGAAACGGGAAAAAGTCATAAAAATAGAAATAACTGAAGAAGACCGTATCCTGCGGCATGTACCGGCAAATGGATTCACACCTAGAATAATCGTATGTCCCGAAAGAAGCGGCAAATAGGGGACGAACGTCCTGTATGCCGTTATTACACTCAGCGTTAACGTGAGTAAGAAAGTGCCATTGTTGGGACCGCCTCATCACTGCAACTGTTACAGCCATGTTTAAACAAATATAGCTAGCCAAGCATATGCATGTCTCTCGCCTCACAAGACAAGGCCAGCATTTGTGATTCCTGCTTCACGAGGATTTTTAACGCGTATTTCTTGAATAAATAATATTTCCCAACACAGCATTTAGCGACTGGTCCTTGTAAAGGGAATGCAACTTCACTGTGAGCTATGAACTGACTTTTAGTTACATTAACTTCTGTATCAAAGGTTCGTGTTTTCCTGAGAATTATCCCGCAACATACGTATTTTCTCCCTTCTCAAAGAATGAGTAGACATCTGTATTGTCTGCATAATTCTACAATCTGTATCTGTAATATGATATCGTGAATATTTTTCATTTAGAAAGACAATACTGAAGTAAGAACAGTGCTCGAGAAGTCTGTAACTTTAAACGATATTCAAATGTTTGGAGGTCCGATACATCATCCGAATTACTTAGTCAGTTTGCACTGTGACTGCGCAGCGGGAGATGTGCTTTCTAGAGATCTGATATTTATTTGGTTCCTTATGGAGTTTTGTCCTCAGTATTCAGCAGAGAAATGACTAACATTGGAAGAAGGATCTTCACGAATTTCGTAGCGAATATCTTAAGTTGAAGTATCGATGTGAGTATTTACTAACCCCAATTCAAATAAAGATATACACGTTATTAGTAACTGAAAAACTGTCTTACTGGCGCTTTTTAATTTTTCAGGGCAGTTTCTTCGTGAACCAACTTACTTCGCAAGTGTGGGTCCGGAGGTGAGGTTCCACGTGGTTCCCTCAGTCCACCCAGGTGAGTGCTGGTGCCACGATCGCTGCCTTGCAGTCTGATATTCAATTATCATTCTACCATCTGACGCTACGTATTTTCAGTACTGAAAAAGTGTCGTTAAAACGGCGGCAAGAAGGAGTTTATGAAAATATTTAGATCTGAGAGGTGTAAAAAGTAGGCGAACACTTCAGGTTATCAAGTAAGCATTTTAAGGAACTTGGTGATTTGTACAGGTCCCCTAGTGTAGCTAGGGGAGTGGAATGCAAGAGGCTGTGAAAGTGGCTAGGGCAGTGGAGGCAAGGAATTCTTACAGAATTTTGGTGGGTGTATGCCTTAGGACGCCGGTCACGGTAGCCGAGCGGTCTAAGGCATGCACTGTCTTCGCTCGCTCGGAAGCCGGGATCGTGGGTTAGGATCTCACTCAGGGCATGGATGTTATGTGGGCGTTTCTCTGTGTTTGTGTACAGGTAGTGGCCTTGCAACGAGATGATCACCCGCCCAAAGAGTCCTACCGAAAGTCTAAGATCTAGTAAACCGAAGTGAAACGGAGAGTTTCATAGAGGTAGGCCTAGGCCCACGTTAGGGTTGTAGCGCCAATGGAAAAAAAAATGCCTTAGGAAGTACTAAGTTTCATTAAGATAGGTTGAGCCATTAAGAAGTTAATTGCTGGAGGAATACACATACATACGCACACGAAGGTGACTTCATTTACCTACTTTTATCTTTTAAAAATAAGGTAGTAGGCTAACTATTTCAGAAATCCCGAAAACAAGGAACGGAAATCGCACTGTAACCTACGTAAAACTATATCATATATATAAATATAATTATATAAATATAATATATCTAGACCGACACAGTTTTACGAAAGCAATGCGTGAGCCGTCATTAAGAATAAAAAAGAACAGACGGAGCAGACTCTTGCAGCTATAACGCTCGAAACCTGCACGCTGGAGGTGTTGGGTTCGAATCTCGACCTGGATATCAGCTGTCCGGACTGAGATATTTCATACTTGTTCTTAGTCCCTATAAGCAAATGCCACGATGGTACCTCGATCAGAGGAAAGACTGCTTCCTTCCTAATCCTTTCCAGTTAA